ATTGTTTAAAATAAAAATTTACACATAACTCGTTTACTTAATTTTTATAATATAATTCCAAATATACATAAAAAAGTAGATTATTAATTTTGTATTTGTAATAAAAGATGATTTTAATTCATTATATTTTAGCAATATATAAAATATATATGTAAATATTATTGTAAGTATTATTATTATAAAGTGTAATGTTTTTTAAACGTGCACATACTTTCTATAATACACAATTTATCATTTATGTGCATCATATACTCTTAACTTGAGGCGAATTTTCGTTGTCGAGAAAAATAACTTAACGTTACTAGTATTATTGATTGCTATTGTCTGTTAAGCTGCCTGAAGCTGCCTTAGTCCCGGCTCGTTATTACCTGCGAGGGGAACTCTAGCTCGTATAGGTGATCGGGTGGTATCACCCAAGATTTCATTAGCGGTACTTCGTATTTCTGCCCAATCCCTTAGAATATCTTCATTCGTCGTGCTGAAAATACCAGGTTACATTTCAGAGGCTCATAAAATCCATCAAGCGCATTAGAATGATCAGTGTGTGGCAAGAATAACAAATATATTTAGAGAGCCCTTCTTCCCTTGCCTCTCTTGATCTCTTCTACCCGTAGAGAATATAGCAGAGTTTGAAGAAATTGTTTTAATTCTTCTAGTTCAATGTGATTACATGAATAAATATGATTACATTGAGAGGCAAATATAGAGACATACTTTGTCGAGGTAACTGTAAATCTGATAACATATTTTCCGTGCAAGGCTGCTGGCACGCAATGCAATCGACCGCGCGAATTAAGCTTCTTTAGGAGACGTTCCGTCAAGGTGTTCTCCCCGCGAAGACGAAAGACCACCATGCCGAGATGCCTCAGAGCTGGAATTTCGAAGCGGGCATCGGCCAAGACCAGAGCTTCGAACTTCTGTGCCAGCCTCACGCCCTACGAATATAATTTTCAGACTTACTATTATGCATTTAATCTACGTAGCAAATAGAAAAAAACGTTAACCAAATTAAAAATATTTTTCTCCCTAAATGTCTTAAATTGGAAATTTAAGTTTATAACAAAAAATATGCGTATTTCCTTCACCTCTCGTATGTGTTTCTGCAAGCCAGTAATTCCGTAATTCCTGATAACGAACCACAGCTTTAAAGCCCGAAATCTTTTAGATAGAGGAATTTGCCAGTGCTGAAATTATATATATTTAAAACAAAATATAATACCATTAAATCTGTATATTACTCTATTTAAAAATGTAAAACAATTAAAAAAAATTATTATAACCATAATAAAGTCCAATTTTTTTACAGATTATATCATTTTTATTTTAAATAAATTTTTTCTTTATAATATTAATAAACATAATATTACATTAAAATATTCTTACCATATAGTCAATTGCAAGACCTGTTAAGAAAAATATTTTATGTTATAAAGCATCGTCTATAATGAGACTTAAGACTTAAGATTTAAGAAAATTGACCAATCATAATCGATTATTCATTTCACGTAAGAAGAATAATCGATTAATTGATCAATTTTCTTAAATCTTAAATTTTAAGTCTCATTGTAAACGCCGCTTAAGAGAAATGATTTATACTAAACTTTCAAATTTTATCTCAGAGATAGATATATTAGAAACACAAATAGTTTTTATAGATAAAATAAATTCATGAAAAACAATTAAATAAATTCAATAAATTTAATAAAATAAAAGATCTGAGATAGAAATACAGTTGATTACAGTTAATTCACTTTTTACAACGGCTGAATTTTTTATTTATATTTATATATTTTTTAAATATGTAAAAAATACACATTCTTTAATTCTTAAAAAAATTGATTTTTAAGAAATCTATGAAATTATAACATTACCTGAATTTTCATGCTTTAAATATAGCGGATCAACATTAAAAGTTCTGTGTAGCGCTTGACTGTTTTTTACCCTGAAACAAACGTATACCAAAGAAACATTTATTGATTTTTTATTTAATCTAATTTCTTTTTTAGTCACTTATGCATATTTATTATGTTTAATAAATATAGAACTTTTTAAGGCTTCTTTTAGTTTATTATAAATATAATATTTATTTACATTTTCCATGGTCCCAGTCATCAAATAAATAATTGATCAAATCGATGTCAATGAATCAATACCATCGACTAATTATTTACAGCAAAGACGTATTTTAGTCTCAATTACTAGAGAAATTTGAATATATTGATATTTGAATAGAGAAATTTGAATTTTGAATTATGAATTCCATGAATGTTATTCATGGGAATATGAATAATCTTTTAAAAAAATGTACTAATTGATTATTCTTGATAGCGACAATAATAATGTACAGATTTTCAATTACGCAGATTTTTTAGCACATTAAAAACAATATTATTTTGCAACAGTATTTCATAATCTGCGAATTTTATTATTATCGTAAATTTCATTTATTCGAATTATAAGATATACTTTATACGATTTCTGTTTTTTAACTGGATAATTATGCACAAATAAAAGAGAATATTAATGAATATACTGTAATATAAAATAGTAAAAAATATCACATTACTTTGTACTATCGACTTTAAACGCAATTGAAATAACATTCCGAAAGATTGTGAACTGCGTTCGATCGTTGGAACGGCCTCGAAAGGAAATTGCGGAAGGAATGGAAAAGATGATCGTACCTCTACAATCCAACTAATAAAACGAAAATTGAGGAACGATAGATTATCTCGCGGGGCACGTGGCTATTTTCGTAAAATTAAAATCACATGTAATCAATTAGCAATAGATTTTAGAAATATATGTATAATAATCAAACGAAAATTTAATTATAATCAAATTTATTTATAATGCAAATATTCAGTCTATTACGTTTATAAATCAAGAAATTCATTTATTCGTTCTTAAAACTGTTAACTTTTAACTGGTAATTCAAAAAGAGAATTTTAATAATAACATTGATCATACCACATAGCTGTACAATCGAAATGGACCATAAGCCATTTGCTCGGATTGAAGGCAATAGAATCAGTGAGTTCCACTCCTTGAAGCCAACCGCGAAATTCCGGACATACGAAAGCGCTGCCAGCGTAGGCCGCATCGACGTGTAACCATAAACCATTTTGTTGACCTATAATGGCATAAAATAATTACAAACTCTTATAAACTTTAGGGCACAGAGAAAAGTCTAGTAATAAAATTGAAATTAACATTTAAAGATGTATTCGTGTAAAATTCAAGTAAATTTTAGTAATTTCAAGTAAATTTATTTTAACTTACATATCGGTCCGATTTCCTTGAGATTGTCGAAAGAACACGCACCAGTGGTGCCTAAGGTTGCACATACCTATACAGAGTCATTTATGTATATTATATACAAAATTAAATTATATACAGAATATACATTATATACAGAAGAAAATTTTTTAAATAATTATTAAAAGTTCTTAATATTTTGTATATCACGCAGGGAGAGAGAGAAAAGTAGAAAAAAAATAGAGAAGGAGTGCCCTCCTGAATTTTACAAAATTTCTTAAAAATAGTAATTTCTATTTCTTGTAACGCTAAAAACATTTAATATTATAAAAACGTAAATTTGATCATAAACTATCATAGAAATGACGTTCTCGAAGTTAATGAAACGCATTATGCTGAAAGTATATTTAACACAATAACCCAATTCGATTGGGTTTCATTTTTCTCTCCAGGCAGATTAATGATCTTACGCATATTATCATCTCTTCTTCGTCTTTTTTTAAAAACCGAAATAATTCAAATTAAAGCAGAACATTTGCATTTCATCATATAATTAGCAAATCAAACAAAACAAACCAATGTCAAAGGAACTGACTGTTAATCACGCAATATCATAATATTTACTATTATCATGAAGAACATATATAATTGGCAAAATAAAAATATTATTACATTGGAGAATATTACGTCACAAAAAATCTCGATTATAAATACTTTTCATTGCGAGCAGGCTTGCAAGACTTAAATCAGGAACTTAGAAGGCTCCTGTGGGACCAACTAGCGCGACGTCGATCCGGCTTTGTTAGCCGAACCCGTGCGTCCGTTACTACTTGCAAGGAATACGTCTATAATTGGCGCACCGGTCCGCCCATACGTATACTTAGACTACTAGCTCTTGCGCCGCAATGTTAAAACCCGCAAATTTCGTTGTCTCTATATCGTTATTAAATCTATATTTGCTATGACTTGTATTATAACAGCTAAGTATTATAACAATTTTTAACAGAAGGAGATTTCTTAAGAGGATGATGTAGAAAAATACGTAATAAAGAAAAAGTATGTCAATAGAATAATTCCTATTTATAAAGATAATAAAATATATAACAGTAATATATTAATATAGAGTCATTCGGGATAAACGTGCGCAATTTTTAGTTGACGATCGATTAATTAAAAATGTGCAGACTTGGATAAAAAAAAATATGATTCTTTGTGCCTATTTATTATACTTCTTAAAAAAAAAAAATAACAATTTATATCCAACTTCTCTCATATTTTCACAAAATAAAAATTATCTCGAAGAGACGAATGCGCCCACTTGATCCGTACTTGCGGATAAACATACGAAGTACTGCGGGATAAATAAACGCACTTGAAGTAAGTGTGCAATCAACATTTTTTAAGACATTTTTTGAGCATTAACTTTAATATAGTATAGATTACAATTTTTCACACATACAAAGGTTTTGGAAGAAGTATTTACCAAATTTACATCAAATTTAAATCACATTCAAAATTAAAATAATAAATTACTACTTACTGGCTTAAACATTTTTACTTAACTTGATGATTTTGCTGGTTATCGTTAGTGCTGAGATTAGTTTACGCAGCTAAATATACGCGTGTGTACACTTGCCCATGTACACTTACCCCAAGGCAATGTTTTTAAAAACTAAATCTCAGTATTAACAATAGCCGACACAACCTCTAATATTGTATAATGCAATATAAACTCACATTATAATACTATGTATAAAATAT